CAATATTCTTGGGTTTGGTGACCCGCATGGCTTGGTCGAGTTAGAGGAATTCAGTTCTGATAGCTTGGTTATGTGCAAATGAATTTTAAAGTTTTCTTGATAGTTTCTACCATGGTTTGAACCGAATATTTTCTACCGGTGTGGGGAACGTATTGTGTATTGTGATTTTCTCCTGGAAGGAAGCAAGAGGAAGGTTTCTAACTAACCGGGTATGTAATTTGCTGGTAACTCATAGTTGATAATGAGATTCTCGTGGTGTGTTGTGCAGGATTAAGATTTACATGTACAAGATGGCAGTTCAATCTTGAAGGGAAGGTCACGAATTTTGGACAGAATTGTCAGTTTCAGATATTTAGATGAATGTAATAACTGCTCGGGAATCCCTGAGAAGGGTGCGCATTTCAGAAGGCGCGTTGTGTTTTGACTTACAGATATTTCATTAGTATTGTGGTACTAATCTGGTTGATAGACTGCTGGTATTTGAATTTTTGCTATGTGGCATAGAAGAATTATAGAAGTATTCCTTGTGGGATGATCGTGCATGAAAGATGTGTTAGTCATTCGAGTACTGGAGTTAGGACCAGTTACGGTGATTCATGTATTCTATGAATTTAGAGACTGGGAGTTCTCAGAAGTATATTGTTTCAGGGTTGCGGCCTGTTTGAGGTAAGTATTTTATTTAAATTCAGTGGAGGCACTAGTTGCATTAACTATTTGTGATAGCTATGCGCTATGAGTGCACATATGTATGGGGTTTGAGCCCATGAGCGAGCACCGGAATAATTATTCGTGCTCGGGAAAATGCTTAGGCTATAATATGCCTAGAGTTGACTGTTAAGCTTAAAGTTATAACGTTCTCATATTTGTACCTTTGTTGAGAACTATCTGATTCATACTTGAGGTTACAAAAAGGTTAATTCCTTGAATAAACTTGGTAGTTACTAATTTTGCGATAACCTGCCGATTTGAGCTGTGATAGCATACTTTGCACATGCCTACACTATGACGTGTTATTTATACTAGTTCAGGAGTGTGAGAATCTTACTTCATTATCATATACATGTGTACTTGTTTAATTTCTCTTGTATGATATGCTTGGACTGGCGGCATATGACCATGCTAGACGATTTATATTATTAGCACGTGAGTTGTCCGTGCGGATCCAGACATTTATATTATTAGCACGTGAGTTGTCTGTGCGGATCTATATATTGATATTATTGGCACGTGAGTTGTCCGTGCGGGTCAATATATTTATATCATTGACATGTGAGTTGCCCATGTCGCATGTGAGTTGTCCGTGCGGATCCATATATTGATATTATTGGCACGTGAGTTGTCCATGTTGCACGTGAGTTGTCTGTGCAGTGTGTGAAAACTATATTTCCTTGATCATTTATCTGATTTAATTGTCTTTCCTTTCCTCTACATGTTATGATATTATTTGAGTAGGGTCTTTGAGAAATCGAGCACATGTACCTATGATTATTCTCTTCACGAAATTTGAGGGTTGGATGTAAATATCGGGTTGTGTTGGGGTTGCATGTCAATAAAGTGGTTGTGTTTGAAAAGATAAAGTCATTGGACCTAGAATGGGTACTAGCAGGTTTGATTACAACGTGTTTGGAAGAATAATTGTAGAAATCGGCTTAGATAATTGGTTATGGTACTTGTTGAACGAGGGAAAGCTCCCTGACTTGTTGATCTAATAAGTGGTTATGAGATTTCACGTGTTTCTTTCATTATCAGTAGTGTACGAAGGTTTTGGAACGAAATTTTGTTTGATATGGGGTTTAATACTACTACCGGGTTGATTTTGAGTAATTACTGTGATCGAAAATGGTGCTGCGAGTATGCGAGTTGTGTAGTATGTTATGTCATTATATCAGGGGTTATGGTCATGGCTTGATACAGCTTATTCAGACTTATACAGTGTGTAGATATGAGATTCGGGTCTTGTAAAGAATTCTGGATGTTGGAAATTGGTTTCTAAGTTTTACGGACTAAGGTTAAAGTAATAATTTTCAATTATGGTATTGCCAGCCCTATATGTAATAAGGTGACGTGGTATCACCCCCGGGTATATGCGTGGTAAGGTGGAATAATGATTTGAAGGTTTAGGAACAACTCTTGGCACGATCGAGGACGAACATATGTTTAATTTGGGGAAAATGTAACGATCCGACTTATCGTTTTGAGCATTTACGCCCCTTTCAACTATTTGAAGTCTTGAATAGTTTCATATGATGTATTATGACGTGTATGAATCGTTGGTTTTGTTTTTCAGGTGTTTTGGAACATGTTCGGAAGAATGAATTCCATGTTGGAAGTCTTAAGTTGAAAGAGTTGACCAAATTTGACTTTTTAGTATTCGACCTCGGATCGGAGTTTCGGATGATTCCGTTAGGTCCGGATAGTGATTTTGAACTTGGGCGTATGTCCGAAATTTAATTTGGATATTTCTAGAATGTTTCGACGTCATTTCTTCAAGCATAAATGGTACCACATTAAGTAAATGAGCTCCAAATTCAGTTTTGATTGAAGCATTGGATCCGTATTGAAATTACAGAGCCATATCAAAAAAAAAATCGTCGGATTCAGACATCGTATGAGAGATTTATGCTCATTTCCGTATCAGGAAAGATTGATATTTTTGTGGGGCAGAGGCAAATCGCAGGTATCAAATGTGATTTATAAGTCTCGGGTGTCAAATGCGACTTGCCTGGACAGATTCTAAAACGGGGATTTCGGCTATTCTTAACACATTTGGAGCTATGGAGCTCGGATTGAAGAGATTTTTGAGGCAATTTTCACGAAATGTTTAGCCCGAGACACTAGAGAGATTGATGACTGAGTGACGTCGAGGACCTGATTGTGAAGATATTTATGGGATCGGGCTGAACGCCGCAGTAGGCCATATTGGCTTTATATATTTTATTATTATGGGATCGGGCTGCAAGAGGTTGTGAGTTCGAGTCACCCCAAGAGCAAGGTGGGGAGTTCTTGGAGGGAGAGAGCCAAGGGTCTATCGGAAATAGCCTCTCTACCCCAGGATGAGGGTAAGGTCTGCGTACAAACTACCCTCCCCAGACCCCACCAGTGAGATTATACTGGATTGTTGTTGTTGTTGTTGATCGGGCTGCACGCCATAGTATGTTCTTTTTATTTATTTATGCCTGAATCTGGCTTATTATAGCGATTGGGCTGAAGGACCCCCCCTCCCCCGAAGTTTGCACCCCCTATAGTGAGCGCAGTGGATATTATATTTGGGATGGAGTTGCCATATATACTCATATTTGGGATAGAGTTCCCTGGCATGGAGTTGCCTTATTTATTATATTTGGGATGGACTTCCCTGGGCATGGAGTTGCCTCATTTAGTATATTTGGGATGGACTTCCCTGGGCATGGAGTTGTCTTATTTATTTATATTTGGGATGGACTTCCCTGGGCATGGAGTTGCCTTATTTATTATATTTGGAATGGACTTCCCTAGGCATGGAGTTGCGTTATTTATTTATATTTGGGATGGACTTCCCTGGGCATGGAGTTGCCTTATTTATTATATTTGGAATGGACTTCCCTAGGCATGGAGTTGCTTTATTTATTTATATTTGGGATGGACTTCCCTGGGCATGGAGTTGCCATATATATTCACATTTGGGATGGAATTCTCTGGGCATGGAGTTGCCATGTACATTATATTTGGGATGGAGTTCCCTGGACATGGAGTTACCTTATTTATTATATTTGGGATGGACTTCCCTGGGCATGTAGTTGCCTTATTTATTATATTTGGGATGGACTTCCCTAGGCATGGAGTTGCTTTATTTATTTATATTTGGGATGGACTTCCCTGGGCATGAACTTGCCTTGTTTATTTATATTTGGGATGAATTTCCCTAGGCTGGATTGACCCTATACATTACTGAGTGACTGACTGTCAGTTGCATTTTATATTGAAGGATGGATCTTTCCCACAGTACTGAGTAATTGAGTATTCTGAGAGTGTGAATACATGAATTCTACTGTGTTGCATTGCATTAGACATGCATACTTGATTTGTAGGCACAGAGAAGTATTTTTCCATATGCCTTCTGATAAATTTCTTATCTATCGTTAAAGTTTTTGAGAAAAATCACAGATTTCAGACTTACTCATATTTTCGGTGATTTTCGGCAAAAGATTTGAGTTTTACTGTTATACTTAAGAAGAAAATGTTTATTTTCCGGAATTGTATACGAGCTGAGCATTTTATTATTAAGTTATTACTTGTGCTGCTTTAAATTGTATTGTTATGAGATGTTATTGGTGTGGACTCTGACCTTGGTACAAGCTCGTCACTACTTTCAACCTAAGGTTAAGTTTGTTACTTATTGAGTACATGAGGTCGGTAGTACTCATACTACACTTATGCACCTTGCGTGCAAATTTTGGATGTTGATGCTGCTGTACATGGCGAGAGCTAGCATTGAAGATGTACCTGCGATCCAGTCACAACTGCCTCTTGTTCTAGGTAGCTTTAGAATTTTTAAATCTGTTCATGTATATTTCAAACATATGACTATTTTTATTTCACACCAGCTTTATGAATTCTAATATTAGAAGCTCATGATTTGTACTACCAGTCCTTGGGAAGTGTATTAGAGTTAGTTAAATATTAATTGAATCAGATTGTTGTTATTTGGCTTACCTAGCGGGTAAAGTTAGATGTCATCACGGCTAGTTGAATTTTGGTTCATGAAATGGAGTGATAACACCTAGGCATAAGACGAGGCCCGGCGTATTGAAGCCCTTCAGAAGCGGCAGGCTTTTTTGCATATGAGATTCCAAAATAGGCCTGAAGTTGAGCCCAGATACACGAGAGGCTCAGAATCTTCGAGACTTCAAACTCAGTCTCGTATAGGCCAGTTCCCAGGCCCAAAAGATCTTGGTGTTCCAAATGATTCCCAAACACCATCTCAAAAATTAACTATAACTACTTCCAATATTAGTTCATGATTATCAAAGCTCGAAATCCTTTTGTTAACTCATTATTACATGAAATTAAAAAGAATTTTGATATTAACTACTGTTCAAACCAACGAGTTTTCATGCCATCTAAAACTCCATTATTTTTCATATAACTCACACACATTATTACCAAATGAAAATAACTATAAACTATTCTCAGTCATCAACACTGATCATTTTCAGAATTACAAAGCTAAATTAGTACATCAAATTGTGATTTGAAACCCTCCATAAGTGGCTGCTTCAATTAGCCCAGAGAAACAGCTGTGCATACTGAACATTTGAACAATCCAAATACAATCACTGTAATTTCATTACTATCAATTAAATCATTCTATAATGAGCATGATTTCATTAATTCACATGGAATCAGAAGATGTAAATCAAACATAAGAGCATGTTAAAACTCATAAACACAAGAATCTAAATAACTGAACTCATACACAGATTCAGAGATGATTTAAGTAATTAGTCATATAGATCAAAATGAGTACAAAAGGGGTTTTGGTGTGTACCTAATGCGCAACAGGAAACAGAACAGAATACCAGCCAAATAAAGGCAGAATAAGGATGAGAAAAGTTCAGCAATGCATAACAAGCACCACAGCTTCAATTTTAAGTCCCAAATCAACTCGAGCAACCAGAAATTATTGAAACAAAGCAGCAGAAATCATACCAGCTTTTCAAATCTTTTTTTTTAATGTTTTGATTCTGTTTTGGAGAGTTTTTTGCAGCATTTAAAATTCAGATCTGGAATCTAAAATTACAGCTGCTACTAGGGCTTTTTGCATGTGTAAGAGTGAATGAGGAGAGGAGAGTGTATACGGTCAAATCCGAGTTTGCTCTTCGTGTAATTAGTCGATATTAGAACATGATGAACCAAGGGTCGTCATTGTAACATCGAGATTATAAGTAAAGTCAGGTTGTCGAGCTCAAGATACCGAGCTCGAGTCAATATCGAGTTATGACATGAAGTAGTGTTATCGAGCTCAAGAGTCAGAGACCGATCAATACCGAGCTCGAGTCAATATCGAGCTCGAGATCCAGAGATCGACCGATACCGGCCAAGATCGAGCTAAGAGACAAAGAGTTGTTGTAGCCGTACCAGGGAGAGAATCTCGACGGGAATCGAGGAAAAGTTAATCAATTAATCTATCATGGGATCCCCACTATGTATTTTTTATTATACCCCAAGTAGGATTCCTCCACTATATTAAGAGTGGGTATTATTTCTATAAAGGGAAATTGAACATCTAGAGAAGCATACATTGATACACTCTCACATTTCAAAGATTATTACACCGATATATAGAGAGATTATCATTTTTTGAGCTTTAGACATTGATTCATCTTGCACGTTTATAAATCATTCTCTAATCAATTTGATTTGTATTTCATTCCTTTTTGCAATAAACATTCAATATATTTCTACTTATCTTCCCGGTTTGTACCAATTTATACCACGTGTCCTTAGAACCACGTATAAATTCAACCTTATCCGTTTTTCGGGTAAACAGTTTGGCGTCCACCGTGGGGCTAAGGATAATAGTGACTATTTGGTACGAACCTCTCTGAAACACACTATTTTTTCACTTGTTCTTGGAAGTATCTTTAATTTCAGGTTGAAACCGACGAATTCTCTATTAATGGCCCTACCTATCGACAACGAAACTGGCATTCAAGATGAGAACAGCAACTTGACGCCCGGAGATGAAAGGCCACTCGTCGATCCCGTTGGAGCTCGTGTCAAAGAGCCAGTAGACGTTAATTCACATGTGGCCATCGAGGCAAACCAACGTTCCGACCCTGAAAATAGCATTCATGGTGGAACTCGATCTGCAACTCGAAATACCCAAAACGTTGAGGAAAACGGAATCAGCTCGCGTATGATTTTCGAAATGTTGCAAGCTCAACAGGTAGCGATAGCTCAGTTGCAGAGCCAAACCTAGGCACCGAGCAGGCCCGAGCCTAGTCCACCCCGAGAAGTCACCCACACAACAAGGCCAGCTGTAGTAAGGTCAAATGAGCAAGAATCGGGGACACATCCCAAAATTGTTAAGATGCTCGAGGAACTGACAAAACGAACAGAGTCAGAAGAGAGGAGGATTGAAGCAAATGACAAAAAAGTGAAAATTTATAATTCCAGGGTTGATCAGATCCCGAGGGCACCACCAATATTGAAGGTCTTGGATTCCAAAAAATTCGTACAAAAGCCCTTCCCCCCGAGCTCAGCTCCAAAACTGATCCCCAAGAAGTTCCGCATGCCCGAAATTCCTAAATATAATGGAACGACCAACTCCAACGAACACGTCACCTCTTACACATGTGCCATTAAAGGAAATGATTTAGAAGACGACGAGATCGAATCCGTATTATAGAAAAAAATTGGTGAAACCCTGTCAAAAGGAGCAATAACATGGTATCATAATTTACCGTCTAACTCTATCGATTCTTTTGCTATGCTTGCAGATTCTTTCGTAAAAGCACGTGTAGTAGTCATAAAGGTCGAGACCAAGAAGTCAGACCTTTTCAAGGTAAGACAAAAAGATAACGCGATGCTAAGAGAATTCGTATCCCGTTTCCAAATGGAACGAATGGACCTACCACCAGTCACAGACGATTGGGCTGTTCAAGCTTTCACTCAAGGTCTGAACGAACGAAGCTCGATAGTTTCACAACGGTTGAAGCAGAACCTAATAGAGTACCCAGCTGTTGCCTGGGCCGATGTACACAATCGGTATCAATCGAAGATTAGAGTCGAAGACGACCAGTCGGGTTCTGGGTCCGTTATTAAAAGGGACATCAACCGCGAACCAAGGCCGATCAGGGACCGATACCGGTCGTATAGTGGAGATTATAGGGGTAGCGAACCAAGACGTGACCCCGTACAAAGAAATAAAAGAAGTGATCGAGGCCAAGGGTCTCGAGGGCTGATGAACAGGAATGGGTTCGACAGGCATACCGGACCTAAGGAAGCACCACGGCTATCAGAATATAACTTCAACATCGATGCATCCGCCATCGTGTCAGCTATCGGACGCATCAAAGATACTAAGTGGCCCCGACCTCTGCAGACCGATCCAGCCCAGAGGAATCCCAATCAAATGTGCGAATAGTATGGCACTCATGGCCACAGAACGGAAGATTGCAGGCAACTGAGAGGAGGTAGCCCGGTTATTCAATAAAAGGCATCTTCGAGAATTTTTAAGTGACCGGGCCATAAACCATTTCAAAAACAGAGATATAGAGAGAGATTATCTTTTTTTGAGCTTTGGACATTAATTCATCTTGCTCGTTTATAAATCATTCTCTAATCAATTTGGTTTGTATTTCATTCATTTTTTGCAATAAACATTCGATATATTTCTACTTATCTTTCTGGTTTGTACCAATTTATACCACGTGTCCCTAGAACCACGTATAAATTCAACCCTATCCGTTTTTCGGGTAAACAAAGAGGAATGTGTATTCTCTGAAAAATGCAAAATGAAAAGTGTCCTTGTGATATGCAAAATGAGAGAATATATAGAAAATGTGGGGAAAAGGCATTTTACATATTTTTGTACAGTTGTTTTTCATATTATTCTTTCCTTATTTTTTCCTCCTTTCTTTTCTGTTATTTACCCTCTAAGACCAGCACCCGACCCCCTTTTCTTTCCCTTTCGTTGCACTTTAGTCCTTTTTAGAAGCTTCCTAAATCATTTACCAAAAGATTCTTTTAATTGAACTTCCCCAATTAACCCCTGTATTTACTGTTATTTACCAATTTTCCAGATTTTACTTCTTCTCCTAATTGCTCCTAAAGTCCACTTGAGTTGGGCCTACATCTGGGCCTTGTTCCTAGCCCACCACCACACTCCCAAATCCAAAACAAAACCAACCGAACCATATGAGACATGTGCATCACTAATAAAATCGCAAAATCAATTCAACATAAACTAAGTCTGATCATCTAAAAGACTAAAATCCATAATCAAATGAATCCAAAGATTTCAATGGAACTGAGATACATGATAATACCCATTGACACTTATTCATGTGGTGAAACAATCAAAAAATCGGAGTGACACACATGTATGCAATCACTAAAAATAATTATGCTCAAACAATCAATCAAAGACACGAGAAAACTGAAATAATGGGAACATGAAAGAGACGGCAAGGAGGATATACCTTCTAATTCAGACGGCGTTTAACACAGAAAATCCAACGAGTCGGAGAAAACAATCGAAGCAATATGGGGGACCAGATTCTGGTGGCCGTGAAATGAACCAATACTAACATCAATTGATCGCTCTAATCAAGAGCAATCAATTGATGTAGGTTTCGAGTTCAAACGGGCCGAGATTGAGGAGAAATCAGAAAAGGACAGATTTAGGGTTTTTTCCGGCCTTCTTAGATCTACTATTCGTGATGCTTAAGGGGTTTTTAGAAGAAAATAGCTAGAGATTGTGAAAGAGGAGGAGGAGGAGGTTGTATTTGAAATTTTGGGGATGTTTAGAGGTTGGCCGCCGCCGTGGACGATTTTCGGCGGCGGCAAACGGCTGATACACAGTGAGGATAGATGAGAGGCGTTTGGGCGTGTGAGAGAGTCTTTGGCGGGGCTGGTTTAAGAGAGTTTTATATAAAATGGGGGTTAATTCAGGGCCGTTGGATGGGGTTTGAAGGATGGCTGAGATTGCCCTGGTCCAAAACGGGGTCGTTTGGTAGTCTTTTGGAGACCAGGCGAAGTGGACCGGGTCTGGGGTGAATTGGCCGTGGATTTTATAGACTGAGCTGCTGAAGTGTTTGGCCCAATTGGAATGTCAACATAGCAACCCATTTTCCTTTCTTTCTTCCTTCCCTTTAACTTTCAATTTTAACCATTTTTATTTAACACACCTAATTCAAACTAATTTGCAAAATTAACCTACTTACCTATTTTAATTTAACAATTGACTATTTAATTAACTAACAATGCATGTAAAGTGACTAATGTATTTTTGGTATTTTAGTGATGTAATAATGCAATTAAAAAAACACATAATGTGAGATTGTTTTCCAATGACAGACGGTGGAATTCACTTATCAGAATTAATCCACTAAATAAAAGTTTCTCATTAAGGGTAAAATAGGTAAATGAAGAGTTTAAAGTTAAATTATTTCCAAATTTAGAAATATGTCATTTATTTTAGAATAGACTAAAAAGGAAAGTATCTCGTCTAATTTGAAACGGAGGGGGTATTATGTGAATTTTAAGTTGAACAAAAAAGTATTTGAAAGTTTAAAATTTGTGTTTGGACATTAATCTGACTGGACAAAAACGTTGAAGATTCATTGTATAAAATGCATTTTTTCATTTCTTTATCGTCCCATAAGAATCATTTACCATATATACAATAAAAGAGTACGCTTGAGCTTTTCTAGAATAGGCTTCTAAAGCAGTCTCCTGTCTGTAGTTTAAGGATGTGGAAGAAAACCAACTACTTAATTTGATTGATGAAGGACTAATAATCTCTAGGTTGAGCCATAATCTAGGTACTACAATTATCCTCCGAATCTCAAACACCCATAAACTAAGCCCTTCCTAAAGATAAGTAAACCCCACAAATCAAGAAGAGAGTCCCTGTAATAATATAATGCAGAAATTTAGGTGTCTTTCACTGCCATTCTATTTATTTATGAAATTGGTATTAAAAAGTGAACGCAGCTAGCCTAATACTAGTCATGTGTTTGGAAAATAACAAAAGAATTCTATCTGTTTTTTCTTTAGAGGCGATCTGCAAACTTGAATTCCATAGATTCTACACCGACTAAACAACGAACATAGATCAATGTTTTTAAAAAAATAAGAATCAGTGCTCGCACCGGGTAATTAGGCACTCGTACAACGTCATTGGAGACGCCAGGGCCTGACCTAGAGCATCGAATATGGGTTCTCGGAAACCTAGTAACTCTTGTAAACCTCATATCCTAAATCCGCCTCTGGCAGACGCCTGGAGCTCTCGTCTCGCAAGACTTGCACATTAAGGGACCGATGTACTCTTCGGATACGCCCAACGTACATATTCATCCCATTGTGTTTGAAGGTTCTTTGAATAACACCAAGTTTCCAGACTGCTTTTGCGGAAGAAGACTTGGATTTGATCAAAGTCTTTCTCTTTGAAAAGAAAACATAAAAAGCAAGACCTTACTCACATCAGTCAAGTCTTTGGGAGTTGGGACCTCTCAAAGAAAGGGGGTTGATGTGCTTGTTAAATACGGAGATCCCTTTAATTTATACAACTATCTAGTCATTCAAAAGATAACTACGTGCTTGTTAAACTCGATTATTAGGGAAATCATAGTTTCTTGAGCCTGATGCACAATACCCTCTTAAAATTTTCTACTAGTCCATGTATCATCTCACTGACAGTCCTTTTCTTAACTCGATAATATTGGGGAACCAACTGATGCTTTCTTTAATTAGATTAGAAGCAAAAACTTGTGGTCTCTTTGTCTGGAATCTGAAATGATTAAGTGGTCATCAAACTTACATCTTATAAATTTCTATTAAGAACCGTGCATGCAGTGGATTTAAGCTTCAACGTACTTCTGGAAAAATGAACAAAATAAAAACATCTTCTAAGGTATAATATAATTATCCTCCTCCTTTTCGAAATTTAGTAAGCAATATCGAAAAAGCTAATGAAATCTTTGGTGTTATATCATTCTGAACTCTTCTTTCTTTATTCCTCACCCCACCCCCACCCGGTATTGTCCAATTTAATTTCTTTTCCGTGTGAGGACGATTGAGAATAATGCATAGCCAGACTTTGCACCTCTACTTACTCCAACAAGAGTTTAGAGTCAAGTCTTTGGGGACACTCAAGGAAAAGGATTGCTGTGGTTGCTAAATAAGGAGAGGATAACGAGAACTAAAACATCCGCAGAAGATACCAAGGAGATCAACTTATATTTAAAGTCTCATTGCCCATTGTACATAGCCACGCCTACTTCTTTCTAATTTCTAAAGTACTAATGGAGAAAGCCTTCACCTCTTTTCTCTTGTTCTTTCACTTGGTTGTGGCTAGTTTAGCCATGAGTCACACCAACATTACCACTGATCAATTAGCTCTTCTTTCTTTGAAATCCCAAATCATTGCAGATCCTTTTCACTTGTTATATGAAAGTTGGTCTCCAGCCACTCCTATTTCCGATTGGATTGGAGTCACATGTGGTCCTCGCCACCATAGAGTGAAGTCATTGAACATTTCCAACATGGCTCTTACAGGCAGAATTCCCCCTAATTTCGGAAATCTCACATTTCTTGTTTCTCTCGACTTGGGTAGCAACAATTTCTATGGCAATTTGCCTCAAGAAATGGCACGTTTGCATCGGTTAAGGTTTGTTAGACTTGGTTTTAACAACTTTAGCGGGGAGGTTCCTTCCTGGTTCGGGGTCTTACACCAACTTCAAGTTCTAACTCTAAGGAATAATAGTTTTAGTGGTTCCATCCCCTCTTTATTTTCTAATATTTCCACGCTTCAAACTTTGGATTTGACATGCAATTCCTTAGAGGGCCACATCCCAGAAGAGATTGGAAATATTGAAAATCTAAGGTTTTTAAGTTTAGGTGGAAACAAGTTTACCGGTTCTATCCCTCTGTCTCTCTCGAATGCCTCAATGTTGATGACTTTAGAACTTTCTCAAAATTTCCTTGAAGGAAACATCCCAGAAGAGATTGGAAGACTTCAAACCCTAAAAATATTGTCAATAGAATCAAATCAACTTACAGGTTCTATACCATTCTCGATCTTCAACATTTCTGGAATTGAAGTCATTGCATTTACAAAAAATACCTTATCAGGAAATCTACCTGCTGCCATGTGTGATTATATTCCAATGCTCGAAAAGCTTTATCTAAGTAAGAACGAGCTACGCGGTCATATGCCTCTAAGCTTGCCAAACTGTTCAAACCTTCAACTATTGTCTTTATCTTATAACAAGTTTGATGGACCCATACATAGTGAAATCGGGATTCTTAATAATTTGGTGATTTTAGGGCTGGAGACAAACCATATTTCTGGTCGAATCCCAGTCTCCACATTCAATATCTCCTCGCTGCAGGTTTTGGTACTAGCTCACAACAATCTTATTGGATCCTTTCCAAGGGAGGTTGGCAATTTGACCAAATTGCAAATTCTAGATCTTGCTGACAATATGCTTACAGGTATGTACGTAGTCAAAAGGGGTATGGAAATTAATTACTAAGATATTGCAGCTATTATATAGCTTGCTAGAGTGAACTTAACAAACTACGTTAAATCATTACTAGCAAGATATTCCTTAAATCTTAATTACTAATTATACATACATATATACATTGGCAGGTGAAATACCAAAAGAAGTAAGCAATCTCATTGAGTTGTTTGATCTGAGTTTCAACAAGTTTACTGGTTCAATACCAATGGAGATCTTCAACATATCAGGGATGAGAGAGATTCAACTTATATTCAATAATCTGACAGGAACCCTCCCATTAGACATAGGTTCTACGTTACCCAACATTGAAGTTCTTCGTCTGAGCAACTTAAATCTTTCTGGGACTATACCTCATTCTCTCTCCAATTGTTCCAAACTGACTAGTCTAGACCTTTCTTTCAATAGACTCACCGGTTTGATTCCCAACTCCCTCGGTCTTTTGACTCGTATACAGTCCCTAGGCTTGGATGTAAACAATTTAATGAGCGACACTAGGTTAAGCTTCTTGACTTCCTTGTCAAATTGTAGAGATTTAAAATTTCTTTTTCTATCTTCAAACCCTCTATATGGTGTGCTTCCAGCCTCACTAGGGAACCTTTCTGTCACTTCTCTTCTAAGGTTTAGAGCTACTGATTGCAGAATTAAAGGGGAACTTCCAAAAGGAATTGGGAACTTAAGTAGCTTATTAGAGCTTGATCTTTCTGAAAATGGCTTAGCTGGATCAATTCCCACAACAATTAGCAACTTGAGATTCCTTCAGAGTTGTAAGTTGAGTCACAATAAACTTTCTGGATTTACTCAAATCGATCTATGTAAATTGCAGAACTTGGGTTATTTACACTTGACCCAAAATCAACTTTCAGGATCTCTTCCTAATTGTATAGGGAACTTAACTTCCCTTCAGGAGTTATTTCTAGGTTCCAACAAATACCGTTCAGACATACCAGCAAGCATAGGGAACCTAATAAATCTCTTGAAGCTAGACTTATCTTCAAACAACTTGGGTGGCTCTTTACCTCCGGAAATCGGAAATCTAAAAGCCGTGATATATATTGATCTATCAATGAATACACTCTCAAATGGCATTCCTGGAGGAATTGGTAGCTTGCAAAATCTAATACACCTGTCTTTGAGAGACAATAAATTGCAAGGATCAATACCTGACTCAATGAGCAGCATGTCGGCTTTGGAATTTCTAGACCTTTCTCATAACAATGTTTCAGGATTAATTCCAAAGTCATTGGAGAAGCTTCAAAATCTTAAGTATTTTGATGTTTCTTTCAACAAGTTGGTTGGTGAAATCCCCTCGGGCGGTCCGTTCAAGAACCTCTCCAGTCAGTCTTTCATGTTCAATGAAGCATTTTGTGGTTCTCCGAGATTTCGTGTTCTGCCATGCCCCACTAATACTGCAAAGCATAGATCCAAGAGGAAAAAAGTACTTGTTCTAATTCTACTGATCGGAATTCCACTTGTTGTATTAATGCCTATCGCGTTTGTGCTTGTATGGATAAGGTACATAAGAGGCAAAAAACTTGATCCTCAGCAAACAGCTGAATCATCGTATGACGTCTCAACAAGAGAACGAATTTCATACTATGAATTGCTCCAAGCAACTGATTCGCTCAACGAGAGCAATTTGATTGGTTCTGGGAGCTTCAGCTCTGTTTACAAAGGCATCCTCAGAGATGGGACTCCTATTGCAGCTAAAGTGTTCAATCTGCAATTGCAAGCAGCATTTAGGAATTTTGATACAGAATGCCAAGTTTTGCGCAACATTCTCCATAGGAATCTCACCAAAGTCATCACTAGTTGTTCCAACCATGAATTTAAGGCTTTGATACTTGAGTACATGCCTAACGGGAGCCTGGATAAGTGGTTGTATTCGCACAACTACTTCTTAGACATCAAGCATAGACTAGGTATAATGATAGATGTGGCATGTGCCTTGGAATATCTCCACCATGGCTGCTCATTGCCCGTGATTCACTGTGATTTGAAGCCTAGTAACATCTTGTTGGATGAGGACATGGTTGCCCACCTAAGTGACTTTGGCATTTCAAAACTGCTTTCTGACGATGAGAGTGCTTCATTCACAAAAACTTTAGCTACATTAGGTTATATTGCACCAGGTAAGCAATCTGTTAATTGCTTTTGAATATTTCTCTTTCCCACCGGTAAATGCTGAATTTAAAAATTGACTGATTACAGAGTATGGACTAGAGGGATTGGTGTCAACAAAAGGCGATGTTTATAGTTATGGAATCATGTTAATGGAAACATTTACAAGGACAAAGCCTAATGATGAAATGTTTGATGAAGATCTTAGCTTGAAGCAATGGGTGAGCAACTCATTCTCACATGCAGTAATGGAAATTGTCGATGCCAACTTAATAAAGCCACAGGATAATCACTTAATGAAAAAGTTAGACTGTGTGGTTTCCATCATGAAAGTGGCAATAGATTGTTGTGTTAAATCTCCTAAAGGAAGGATTGACATGAAAGATGTTGTAGCGAGGTTAAACACGATCAAGACTCAACTTCTTGCATGTTGAGCAAATTCTTATAAGAATCTTCTCTTCCAAATCATCTCGTGTGTAACAAATGTTTGCAATAATATTTAGCCTCAAATAGGCTATAGTTTGGTTTGATTCATAACATCTATTTGTAGGCAAGGCGGGACTTTTCCTTTTGTTAAATCTATTTGCCCAGTTCTTTTAATAAATCTGCTACAGTTAGGATCTTGATTGGGACTGAGGCATAGTAATTGTTGTTATTGTTGTTGTTGTTGTTGTTGTTGTAATTATAATTAGGATATTGATTAGCTTCGATTTTTGTGTCAAATCTCCATAAGGAAGGATTGACATGAAAGATGTCATAGGAGATTAAAGAAGATCAAGATGCAACTTAAACTTATTGCATCTTGAGCAAGTACTTAAAATTCTTTCATAACATAGAGAATTGAGGGTATACTTCTCCCCTCTTAACTTGACGTCTAAGTTGAGCAACACTACTGGAAGTACGCGAAATTCCGACGGCCAATCTAGGTTGAGCAACAATATTGGAATTACACGAAATTCTTACGGTCATATCTGCCGAAAAGTCATCAGAAGAGTATATGAATTATCGGCGGGAAAGAGACCATCAGAAATACATGCATCGCAAAACTTTTTAGACGGCAAACCATCAAATTTTACGACAGATATTTCTAACAGCTAGGAGGTCACCCCCAATTATGCCCTACTATCACTGCAATCTAACAAGTCGATACTAATAATTCAGAATTTCAGGAAAGGAAACTTCACACAATGAGAGAATTCACATCAGAAAATACACCAAACCTCACCCCCATCTTAGAGTATTGTACCTTCTTATGAAAGTTTACAAAAAATCATGCACAAAATTCACCTACTCGAAGTTCAATTTTTCAGATTTCAAAGCACGAAAAAAAAAGTTCAGTTGTTAAGATTCTTTTAAGGCTCAGTACAACTGATCTCAATTACACTCAAACTGTATCATGATTCCCCATTTAACAATGTAAACAAATAGATCTCAACCATACTGATTCAGAATTCCACTAAAAGATCATTCACACAGCAAAGGGACTCATTTAGGCAATTGAGCAAACATCTTATGGGAAATAAGTTTGCCTGATTATTTTCCTTCTAATATGCATAGATGTTGTGATTAGGAAAAATATTCACTTCATAAATTTTGTAATACAGAGAAGAGTTCGGGGATTTCATACCTGACGTTGTGCGATTTGAGGATTAGAGAGGAGATTGCGGCTGTTTTCCTTCAAATCCAACCAACTAACTTTCAATTTGATGAATGTGAGATTGTTTTCCAATGACTAGATGGTGGAATTCAGTTAACAGATTTAAAGGTTGTTTCCCGACAGGAGTGATTTAAATAAGAAATAAAATAGCATGTTTTACAACACTCAACTCCGAAGAGGCTCCAAAAGTAGAGTACTACAATTTTTTAAATTATATTTCTAGTAAGAATAGAGTACATGAAATAAAGCTTTATAAAGTAAACATAAGCAAAATACATAAACTGATATATTATTCAAACTTTAAACTTATGTACATAATGAACTGAAATCTCTTTTATTTATAGAAGAAAGGAAGTTGTTGTGTAAGTTGCTTCTGCAAGCTGATGTGTAAGTTGCTATTATACTAGATATAGATAATCTTCAACCGGGATAATATTTATCCATAACGGAGTATTGAAAGGATAAGCTCATTGGACTAGATATAGATAATCTTCTACCGGAGGTGATATTTATCCATAACGGAGTACCGAAAGGATAAGTTTCTTTTAGGAGGCTTATTTTCAATAGAGTACTAAATAGATAAACATATTTACGGCGGAGTCTCATATAGATAAGTTTATTCAGGAAGCTTATTTACAACGGAGTACTAAATGAACATCCATAATATAATATATTTATAACACTCCTCCTATGATGTTTATTTAAAAGATAATGTGCCTCATTAAAACTTTATTATGAAAAACTCCGTGGAAAAAAATCCTAGTGAAGGAAAAAGAGTACACATATTTAGTAATATGCATAACTAGTTGTCTCATTAAAAACCTTATAAGAAAAACCCTGTGGGAAAACCTTAGTAAGAAAAAAAAAAGAGTATAGCACGTATTTTACTCCCCCTCATAAAAATCTTGTTTCAAATATTTGAGTCTCTGCATTCCAATCTTGTATACCATCTTCTCAAAAGTTGAAGTTGGCAAATATTTAGTGAATAAATTTGTCGGATTGTTACTTGAACGGATTTGTTGCACATCATGATGTCATCATTTTTTCTGAAGATCATGTGTGGAATAATTTGGTGAAATGTGTTTCGTTCTATCTCCTTTTATAAACTCTCCCTTTAATTGGGCTATGCATGCATCATTGTCTTCGTATAAAATTGTGGATCATTTATCACATTCCAAACCACATTTTTCTTGAATAAATTGAATCATTGATCTCAACCATACGCATTCCCTACTTGCTTCATGAATAGCCATTATCTCATCATGATTTGAAGAAGTAGCAACAATAGATTTCTTTGTAGAGCGTCATGGTATGACAGTACCTCCACATGTAAATACGTACCCGATTTGAGATTGAGCTTTATGTGGATCAGATAAATAACTTGCATTTGCATAACCAACAAGCTCTGCACTACCTTTGTTAGAATAAAATAAACACATATCAAGTGTTCCCTTTAGATATTCCAATATATGCTTAATCCCGTTACAATGTCTCTGTGTAGGAGAATAGCTATATCTTGCTAGTAAATTAACATAAAATGCTATGTCAGGCCTTGTAGCATTAGCGAGATACATAAGTGCACCAAATTGCACTAAGATAAGGTATTTCGGGACCAAGGAGTTCTTCATCCTCTTCTAGAGGTCAGAACAAATCCTTATTCACTTCAAGTGATCGAACAACCATTGGTGTACTCAATTGGTGCGCTTTGTCCATATAAAAGCGTTTTAAGTCCCTTTCTGTATAGGCAGATTGATGGGTAAAGATCTCGTCTGCTAAATATTCAATTTGCAGACCAAGACAAAGTTTTGTCTTTCCAAGATCTTTCATCTCAAATTCTTTCTTAAGATATTCAATTGCCTTTTGGAGCTCTTCTGGAGTTCCAACAAGATTTATGTCATCAACATAAACAGCAAGTATAACAAATTTTGATGCCATTTTCTTTATAAAAATACATGGACAAATAACATCATTTATGTAACCCTCTTTCAGCAAATATTCACTAAGGCGATTATACCATATACGCCCAGCAAGTATAATCTGATTGAATATATTTCTCGAGATTTTGAATTTGCTTCAGGCATTTTAAATCCTTTGGAGATTTTCATATAAATTTCATCATCAAGTGAATTGTAGAGATAAGTTGTAACTACATCCATTAGATGTATTTCAAGCTTTTCATGTAGTGTTAAATTGATGAGATATCGAAATGTTATGGCATCCATAACAGGTGATTATGTTTCATCAAAATCGACTCCAGGTCGTTGTGAGACTCCTTGTGCAACTAGGCGAGCTTTGAATCTTTCAATTTCATTTTTATCATTCCTTTTTCGCACAAAAACCTATTTATGACCAACTGGTTTTATACCAGCAGGAATTTGGACTACTGGTCCAAAGACCTCTCTTTTAGCAAGTGCGTCCAATTCTGATTGAATTGTCTCTTGCCATTAGGGTTGTTCAAAACCGAACCGAAACTGTTAACCGAACCGAACTGATAGCTTATTGGTATCGGATTATTGGGGTAATGGATGGGGAACAGATTGAGATTTTATAATTAACGGCTTAACGGTTTGGGGGCGGATTACTCAATTTTCTTATGGGTAAACCGTTAACCCGTTAATAATTTTTATATTTATACTTTTACCCCTATGTATATAAAGTACCATTGTTATTTGTCTTTCCTTCATATCGTTATTTGTATATTACTATTATTTTTCCAACTTCTTGATTCAATTACAGGTGGTTGCCCAGTTTTATATGAATATTGATTTTCCCCACATATTGTACCTTTGTCTATTTGCATATTATAGAATCGAATTACAGCTTCTAGCTAAGTTAAGCGTCAGAGCTTTGAGGGCGAAATCCGAAGCTTTTGCCTTTTGATTGATTATGAACGAATATCCTTTTGGAAGTTTGACTAATTACTGAATGAATGTGCTTTTCTGGTTTTACAAATTTGGTTAATATGTGTAATGACAGTATGTGTAGCCTTGGTATTGATTGAATGATTGTTCAAAAAATAATTGGTTTAGTCGATAAGCCGCCTGATAACTGCCCGATAATTATTAATCTCATACCAATCCGCCAGTTGTCTTATTGGATGGCTAGCGGTTTACTACATTTATAATCCGAGAACCGTTAAGCTGAACCGTTAAGTATAATTATCAGTTCGATCTGCCCGATAAGCACCCCTACTTGCCATTTTGGCCAATCAGATCTTTGTTGATATTCTTCGACAGATCGGGGTTCAAGATCCTCACTATCTTGCATAATGTTAAGTGCAATATTATATGCAAAAATATTATCCACCACTATTTCAGATCGATTTAAATTAATCCATTCACTAGTAGAACTTATTAAAAGTTTCTCACTCACTTGAATTTCGGGTTCATTGATTTCTTCAGGAATCTGAGAACTAATCAGATCTTGGGTCTCTTTAGGGGATCCCTTCATAGTATCGTTTTGATCATTGTCGATTTTCCTTTTCGAGGATTTCGATCCTTAGAACCCAAAGGCATACCACGCTTCAGGCGTGCTTTAGGTTCACTATCGCTCATTCTAGTAGATGGTCCTGCTGGGACATCAATTCGGATATGCACATTCTCTGCAGGAATATGTGACTTATTTATCCTTTTCACATCAGTAAACGCGTATGGCATTTGATTTATTATATTTTGTAAATGGATGATATTCTCGACCTCCTGATTACATATAGGGGTACATGGATCAAAATGAGATAATGATGAAACTTTTCACATAATTTCTCTTTTGATTTCCTTTTTCTCTCCCTCCTAATTGTGGAAAATTTGTTTCATCAAACCGACAATCTACAAATCGAGCAGTAAATAAATCTCCCGTCAATGGTTCAAGATAGCGAATAATAGAGGGTAATTCAAACCCAATATATATTCCTAACCTTTTCTGCGGGCCCATCTTACTGCGTTGTGGTGGTGCTACTGGCGCATATACAACACATCCAAAAATTCGTAGATGGGCAATATTTGGGTCATGACCAAAAATTAATTGTGATAGAGAATATTAATTATAATGTGTCGG